CATTTCCTGCAGTCAATTTACAACCTTCGCATGTGAAACAACTCACAAAAAACAATGCCTCAACGCTCTAAAACCCTGATAATAGTCTTTTCATGCGATATTTCTTCAAAATGATGACTTTTTTCATTAGTAATTCGTCTACGCTGTCATGACAATTTTACGCATTACAACGAACACAATACAGGAAAGTATTGCATTTTTCGGCTACAGAAGCCTAAAACTAGTCAAATATAATCTATTTTCACAATACTGAGCGATTAGAACGTCTCTATAGGCGTGAACGCGATAACCCATACAATGCGCGAAAACACATCGTCATAGAACATAGCCTCACTCCGATCAGATCACTCGCGCCCTCAAGTTACCCGCCAATGACGACCGAAGCCAATTAACAAAAGTTAAGTGTTCGTGATCTTTTATCGGCACCTTCTGTAGTAGACTCAGGAATATAATACCGGATACGAAGATCGCTATCTGGAAACAGATTGCACAAATGAAACCAATATCAGATGGTCAAGGGAATCTAATTTCCAAAAAGGGGAGACAAACAAAACGTTACGTCGATCACCTCAAAGTACTGCTGGACAGACCACTACCTGCAGCCACCAGCAGCAAGCACAAAACTGCCAATCCCTCAACGAAAGCAAAAGTCTTGCGTGAAACCAAGCTGGTGAAGGCCGGGAAGGTAGCAGGACTGCACATGATTCCACCTAAAGCACTGAAAATGGATCCCAAGACTGTGGCGGATATATTTACACCAATACTGGGAAACGTTTGGAAGGGAGGAAAGTTGCCTAATGATTGGAAGAAAGGCTATTTCGTCAAACTTCCAAAGAATTGGTGGCTTTGGCCTCTGTAATAACTGATATGTAATCATACTCCAGACCACGCCAATAAGAATATTAAGTCGCGTCATCCTAGAGAAATCCAAAATATCCTGGACACAGAACACCGACCAAAAGAGTCTGGATTTAGGAGAGGCACATCTTGTGTTAGCAACTTGCAGCTGAACGCATCATCATCGAAAATAGAATAGAAAGGTAGTCAAATTTCTACCGCAACTTCATATACTCTGAAAAAGTCCGCGACAGCGTTGACCATGAAGTAATTCGGAAACTACTTCAGCATTAGGGAATTTCCAAAATCTTTATCAACCTCGTTCAGTATCTGTGTGATGGTACCACATATAAAGTAATTCACAGTAAAGCACCCAGTGAAGCGTTTGAAGTGAAGACAGTAGTAATGTGGTGAGAGCTGTCTACTAGCCAAATTGGTAGACAGTAATTACGTCAATATTTACGTTCCCAAGATTTGTCGTGAGAAAATGTGAACAAAGATTGATTCAAAACCGACCACAGCGACTTTGCGTAGGCGGATGCAGTTAACATATAGAGGATTTGACATTCAAGAAACAGTCACAAATAGATGAAAGATTAACTTTACGTGAGAAACAACCAATCGGAAGACTGTGTTTGTTTGTTTAAATATCCATAGTGATGTACATGAAATATATAAATATGCGTTGATTTCCTTAATAAATGATCTGTTGCCTGACTCTTGCCTTCTGTCGTTACAGTAAGACGCTGCCTACAATCACTGATGGTATTCCTGACTGTTGTGGATTGGATAATGGGGCAGATTGTGGGGAGCGAGAAGATAGCAGTACAATGGGCTGACAAGAATACAGTGAGACTTGAACTTCACACGAGGTTTTTATTTAAGGCCTCACATACTCTAAGATACATTGGCGAAAACCAGCAAGCTGATCGATTATTCAGTGGAGATGGGAATTCGAGTGAACACACAGAAGGCACAGGTAATGAAGATATACAACAACCACTAACAAACACCAGTTACACCCAACGGTTGAAATATGAAGGAAAATACTTCTCTGACTTATCCAGGCAGTTTCATATCTGCTGCAAGCAGCACGGATGAGGATAATAGTAATAATATATATTTCGTATAAACGGGTAAGTTTGCATGTCTAAGGTAGAATCAACAGAGCCAGACCTTCATTACTCAGGAATCGGTATAGGAATGTGCTGCACTCAGTTTCAATAACAAGGTCAGTATCTTTGAGACTGATGTCCAGTCAGTACTAGCATTCGGTTCAGACGCCTGGAGCGTTGCCGTAAGACTTTCATCACCAGTGGCAGTCGCTGTCTCGATGGAAAAAGTCAGATGGCTGACCAGAAAAGAATAAGCAGAGAAAAAATCTGGCAGCGAATAAATCTGGGAAGCTATCGTGTAATAGACATGGGTGTGGGTTGGACGCAGACTGAGGAGACCGTTTAGTAACATCGCTTGCAAGACTCTGGAATGGAGTCTGAATGGGAAGTGACGAGATGGGCATCCGAGAGTGTTTCTCAGGTGACCTAATGAGCAAGAGATGAAAGCTTGCGGGAGGAAAAATGATGGAGATGTGCCACTGAAGCCTTATGTTCAAGACCGAACCTATGAGATCAATAGTAATGACGATATAAGGACGTGGAAATATAACGAGACCTGTATAAGGAATAGGGATGGTCACAATTATGAAGTATGTGTATAAAGTATGGTGCTCAGCACAAAACGTGTAGATGTTAAACTACGAAATCTGCTTCAAAATTGCATTTGACGGCGATGGGGGAAAGCAAGGCTGCTAAAAAATCCACGTGTGCTAAGTCTGGGGAAAATAGGTCCCTTTGTTTTCAACGATAACTGCTGTTAATAAGAAATCTTCATCTCAGACAATATGGTAACGCTCAGCGTGTTTAGTTTCAAAATCTTTCCTGCTCTACAGGTAAAATAATAGTGCTGTATGTCATGTGGCGGTGTGCTGACTCATATGGGCAACTCTAAGCATCAGCCACCCTATCGAGGGACCCAAGTAAACAGACGTTATGGCGTTGCTTGACCGATCAGGTGAGCTCGTGGCAAATGCGCTTAATTAAAATTCTTTTATTGGCATCAAAGTCAGTACTGAAAAATAATTGTACGGTTAACTTCCTCGTACGCGTCCTAGGGAAAGCTCCTAATTCCTTAATGGATTCTACAGTGATGGGCCAAACCTATTCATGTATATAAATTCAGCTAGATAACCGTATCATGCTGTTTCGCGGCCCATTCACTGCTTTACAGCATCCATAAACCTATAAAAGGAATTGAACATCTTCTTGGACAGGCTTTCTGTAAAGACACACTGGACATCTGTACAATTATTCACCAACCGCAACAACATATTGTTTGATTCAGTTTTAGAGACATCATCACTGACTGCGAACTTCAGGTACATTCAGTGACGAGTCCCGAATAGGACGAAATGCGCATCCTGAATTCCACTACTAGTCACCATCCACCAATTAGCGACAACATATCTATGTAAGGACATTTCTTCCCCATATCTACAAGCCTATTATCCCTATGGTACTCAAACAATAACTGTTGATGGAATTCGCGACGTAATTCATGTATTGAATATATACTTCCGCTTTAGTATGAATTCACCTGCTCAAGGTCATTTCGTGAATTTATTCGGGCCCTCCATTTGGGTTGTCAATGCTTAGACTTACCCCCACATGAACGACGTTTTATTCCCTAAGATGTTTTCTGTTCATTTCCCCCAGTACTTTACGGCATGTTGTTGAAAGCCAATTAAAAATGTGCGTGAGGGTATATAATGACCAATGGGCACAACTACCCGATTGAAAAAGCAAGAAACGCAGAAGAGATATGGCATCATGATGGGTGGGTATTTCGGTAGCCCAGGGACTTAAGCAACCTACCAAGCATAGGAAAGGGCAAATCACAAATGTTCGGGTTGCTCAGACCAAGTAATCCTTCCATCGGATCTCAGTCACCTGCCTTATAGCAAGTTACGAAGTATCATTCCTCGGAGGGCGAGACTTCAAGTCACCCCCATTTCTGTTTTCCTTTTAGTTTATCAGTGGCCATGGCTTCTGCTCCATCAGTGGAAATCTGTTAGTAGAGGCTGGATAGTCATGCAACGTGCAGTTAACGTCGGACTGACTATCACCAACCCAAGTGAGGTCTAGCCCTCACACAGTGCAAAATATCATTGTGTTGGCAATTAAACTGGACCCTTCAACGTTTGCAACACCCCATATCTTCTCTATCCCGCTCTTCTGATAATTCCACGGTCATTATTTCACTTACTATAATTTTCTGCCTATCCGTGAAATAGGACCGTGTACAGTGGGTCATCACAAAAATACTGGATATTTTGTCCAGAGAAGCATACTGGAACGACATTGATGGTTGATTTTTTGAATTTACCACACATGTAAGTATCGTTATTATAGTTCCCTTGGGTTCTGAGTTGAACACAGAACTTCACCAGCACATCTCCACTCTGTCCTATTTTCTACAGTACTCTTTCTCTGGACTTGTAATTGCCCATAGTCTCTGGTCTCCCCCCCACACGGTATCCTCTATGTCACCCTAGGACGTCCCAATAGTCGTTTCTCATTCATCTTCCAGTCGAGGGCCTGGCGCGCGATGTCATTAAGTCTTCTCCGAGTATACCTGATCCCCATTTTCTTTTAGATATTTGTTGGGCAAAAATTTCTTGGCTGGTTTGTTCCCAGATTTTCTAGTCGCTAATTATTTCTGGCTATTCGGTTCTCATAATGGAGCAGGAGAAGGCAACTGTTGATGAAGGTCTACATCCTTCTGGAAATGCTCTTCGTGATGCATCAGTATTCTGACTCATTTAGAAGCATTGGCTTACCATTGGTGTTGAAAATCCGAATCTGGTTCTGTATACTGAGTGCAGAAGATTCTCAAACTAACTGAAGGGTAATGAAGGTGTACCTTGTCTTTCCGATTCTGGCTTTCACATCATACATACACCTGTAAGTAGTTAACCGCATCCTAATTATCCGGATATCTAACATACGTACCATGCGCATTATGCAAAGCCTATGAAACTGTTAATCTTAAATAAGAATCAGAGCGTTCAAAAGCTTGCATATTTTGGTGCTTCTCATTGTTTAAAACAGAGGTCATTCGGAGTAACACTTCTTTTAAATTTATTCGTACAGACTGTTTTGTGGTTGGTTTTATTTTCTTAAGGTATATTTTTTCTTGTGGGGATAAAATTGCTGCACTTTTGTCCAGTTATAGTGTAAAAAATAATTCTCAGCTGCAATTCATGTTTGTAATATCTCACCATAGTCTGTTGGCAACAGTAACTTGTACGAATCAAATCGTCTCTTCAATAATTAGTAACATCATCATTCTTCAGTGGGTGTGTTTTATCATGCTGAGGCATATAAGTCGTAATCATACGAGGAGGTCGTTAGTACCTGGGTTTTGACTTAGGTACTTACTGTTGGTACTTAATGTAAGGTCTCATTCACATGGATACTAGAGGAATGTGATAAACACTTCGTGTTCATAAGTAGCTAGATTAATTACTACTGTTTAAAGGAGAGAATACTGTTACGTGTGGTGACTGTACACGTGATTTATGTCAGCTTGTATTTTCTGTTATGCTTGCCTTTCTCACTATAGAATTGTGAAATGTGTCCTGTGTTAATTGCTGCATTCAACGTATTGTGCAAATTTGGTTTCTAGTTTTACGAGTTATTTAAAACAGGAGATTTTAGTGAGGTTTGAAGGGCCCATTTCATTCTGAAATGAAGCAGCAAATCCTAGTGGTATAACTCCGGTGATGTTTGTGAATAATCCTGATGAAGTACTGTTTAGATTAGTTAAGGTACTAATTAGTATAAGGGGACCCGAGGTAGCTCTCCAGACTAGTTTGATCAGTCAAACCGACTTACCAAAGAGGGGAAACATCTTCGTTTTGATAGCTACAGGACGATCAGCTTGATTAACATAGTATTTTAGATACTACGGCTTCTAATACGAAGATCAAGCGGAGTTCAGGAAAAACAATCCGAGAAAGCCAGGCAAGTTTTAGTCCTGAAGAGAGGTGTATGGATGAAATCTTCACCCTTCGACAAATTTCGAAACAGATAAATACCAGCAACAGCCATTTGCCATATTAGCATAGGCGTTCGAGTCCTTATTTACAGAGGTTTGGGCAGCCAGGCAATATCGCTAACCCTCACACACAATAGATGTGGCTCATTTTCAACTGTTTAGAATTGCAAGTGGTTGGTTCATTTCCATATATCTTGATCTAAAGATGACATTCGACTCAGTTGGTCAAAAGAGGGTGTTGATGTCTGTCCATGAGGATAGCGCCGAGAAATATTTTGCTAACCAAGACACTACATCCACTCATAGTTATATGAAAACTTATGGAAAGCTGTTGTCTGAAATGATAACCAGTGGTATCCATAAGGGATTCCCAGTATAGCCACTGTTCACGTGATTCTAGTCAACTTCGATGTTTGAGGGATTGACTCATTGGCAGGGAAAGGTCATCGATATAGAGTACGTAGATGGTGTTCTCCTGTTTGGTGATGCTTAAAAAGCTCAGTCTTCTCAACAGTTTAAATGCAGATCTGAGTGTATTTAGCGTGTAATCTACCTTTGTCAAATGCAGGATAGTTAAACAGTATTCCTTTTCATGAACCCTAATTTGTATATGTCAAATTTTGTGGTTGAGTGAAGCTTTTTGTTTGTTAACATCTGAAGCAAGACGGCGACTGTTACCAGTTTCACTTATTTAGTGTTGCAGGTGTGTGTTTGGCTAGTGGCATAGTGGTTAGGACTCTCGCCGACCATGCACATGGTCCGAGGTTCGATCCCCTGCCGACGCACACCCGATATCTATGGTTGGCCTGTAACATTTGGGCCACCGATATCCGTGCTGAAAATGCCATACTTGTACTGAAAATACGGTGTGGCACCAAGCCGTAACCAAAATAAAAAAAATAAAAAATAAAATAAAAAATCAACTTGCTGCAGTGCAGAGGTCTTATTCAGTATCTAGAGGATATAGTCCTTTTACTTAATAACTAGCAAGATATAAAGCCTTTCGAACGTCCTGATTATTTTGAGCCTACAGTTCATCTTTGTCAAAGATAAGATGGTGCTATGTGATTCGCCTGCATCAACTATTAGTTTAACGGTAGGGAGTGAGGTGATTATATTTAGTCACTTCACTTTTCTAGTAACCTGGATTGGTCCTGATGAATTGGTTGCTGGCGAAATCTCAACATCTTTACCGAAACCACCTTTGGCATTTACCAACTTGCGGTGTCTTCGGAGCAGGTATAGCGATTCAGTACCCTTCTTTACGATTGAGATGGCCCCTAAAATCAGAAGCCCCTCATTATAGTTGTTCGAATCCTGCTCCACCTACAAAGTTTGGGTAGCCAGGCAGTATTACTACCCCTCAAAATATGTTTGCCTCATTGCCAACTCCATGGAAATACAAGTGGTTGTTGAGTAACATTTCACTTCATTGGGTAAGAAAAGTAGGACCGTTACTGAAATTATAGAGCTACATTGACTGAGATGTTTAGTATCCACCTTCCGTGATACTTCACTTCAGCTGAGGTAGAATTTGTTTAGAAGAGGCTTAGGAGTGAGCATGCCAAAATGTAACATCAATCCATGAATTGATTAACTGTCGATCTGAGATACGGAAATGGATATGGGTCTCTTGGTTGGGATTGTCAGGATGCTAAGAATCAATGGTTGGAGACTCGGTGACATGGCTTGAAGTTGTTGACAGTGATGAAGACTTATCTACACCTTGCCTTCCGTTAGGTCCTGGAAAACTTTACTAACCTTTAAATAATTATCCTACATTGCTTCATCAGTCTCACTGACTGCATAATGATTCATGATTCTAACTAGTAGACCGGGATGATGTAGATGGGCCTTGTTCCAAACCCTTGACCCATCAACCGGAATTCAAATGTGAAAGCCAATGAACTACGTCTTTAAATCCCTACTTAATGCATAAAAAGCGATTGACGTTTGTTCATTGTAGTAACATTGCGTTCCTATTGTATGCTTTTCGACGTGCTGCAACTTAAGCGGTCGCATTTTTCTTTGTCAGTCCGTTAGTTATTCAGTCAGTTATACTCCAACTTGGTTAAGTCTGGATGTGTAAAACTCCTCCACTGTTTCTTAAAATGGTTGCAAATATACGCTAATAATTTCAGATATAGACAAAGACTTATTCTGTGCTGAGTTTCTTGTGATATACCATTCATCATATTCAGTTCATATTTGAATAATTTTGGAAATTGGCGATTACATGTGTTTTTCATTCACTGGTTGATTTGTCATGTAATTCAAATATCCCGATTAACATTTTCAGTTTTGTTTTACTTATTTCTAATTGGTAACACCTGTATTTGGGTTGCTTGGTCTGTATTTCATTCTTAGATCCAAAGCAATGGTTCTCTAACTGATATCCATCCGTGATCAACTCGTAAAAACAAAACTAACCCTTACAAACCAACTGTAGAAAATTATGTTAAAGCCTGTTGGTGTTTCTAAACGTTAGTGACTCCCTAATATAGGAACTCGGTTTACGATTAGTTGCACGTCCGACATTTGCATTCCGTTGCGTTCCTAGTGGAACATAGGGTTTCAAACTTGAGCTTTAACATTTCATTAGCGGCGGTGACTTTGTTTTATGGGTTAGGGTTGCTAGCTTCACTCCTAACCTTCCCTTTTTACCGGATTTACTACCAGCTAAGCGACGTTTAGGAGTATGTCGACCGGAAGTCAAACCCGGACCACAAGTGTGATTAACGAGACCTCTACCACTGAACCACCGACGAAGGTATAATCTAATGTAATTATTAAGTTGCATTCTTTTGGAATGTAAATGTAGATGCTATTGTCCACCACATACGGCTTAACCGTACATAGGGAAGACTCGTACTTTGGAATGGGTTTGCTTCACTTAGCTAGCCTGCTTGAAGTCAACTAGACTCAGTTTTCATTTAGCCTTTGTTTAGTGTAAAGTTTCGAAATCCTACTGACATTTGTATTTATAGTTCATTGTGTTGCTTTTACAGTAGGCAAAATATGAAGATATATTAGCAGCGGTGTCAATATGGTTGAGATAACTTAATTCTCATATCATGAATATGGTTTTTTAGTTGTTAGATGCACTTGTGCAACTGATATCACTTCTTATTGATTAGGACTTTTTGGATTCCCTGTTTGTTTTTACTGAACCGTAAAGCTCGGTCTCTGCTAGGATAAGATCAAGTTTACGTCAAGGCATCATTGAAACACCTTTAGTAAGCTCTGGTGTACCAACAGAAACTGGGTAATTCGGTCCACTGAAATCACAAGACAAAATTAAAGTTTCATTGAATATCTCTCCTTATGCCAGTCAGAAACAAATGAAATATTTGTATTTTCCATCGCTCTCACCGATTATTCCTCGCAGAGTTTAGCAAGAAGGTATCCATTTCCTATTAATCACATTTGATATATTTATTTCAGCTTTGTGTGCAAAGATAAATGCACCCTTCAAATATGTTTCCTACTGAATGGATTGTCTCAATCTTCTACTTTTAGCTGTTTTATTCAGTTTGTTCATTAATGCCTACAAGACCCAATAGGTGAGTCTGAGATTCAACACTTAAATGAAACTTTCGTCTTGTTTGTATCAACCTGCTTGCTCATTATTCTGCATCAATATGCAGAATATACTCATATACTCGTAGTTTTTGAAGTCGTATCAGTAAATTGATGCCCATGTTACTTCGTTTCCACATTACAGAAATTATCGATTTTATTGAGCTTGGCTATTAATTTATGGCTGGTTAAGTAATATTTCTCGAGCGGCCAAACGCTTTTGGTCATCACCTTTAGAATAGACATGCTGAATATTTTTGTTACTTGTCATTTAATCCAGTAACAGCCATTCTGAATTATAAGATTGACGAATTCCCCTTTCGAAAATAATTATATCATACAATCAGTTATGCCGCTTATATCAGATGCTAGTCAACCAAAAGCAAGTGATACTCCGACAGTTACCCCAACGTATTATAGCTCTTTTTATGATCGAACAGATACTCTTTGTGAGTTTCATTGTGAGCCTTTTCATTAAATATTGGGACAGAAAGTGTATGTCCGTTGGTATGAACATTCCTAAAATGATCTTATCGTTGAGCACTCAGGTCTGACATTGAGCGTATTGACTTATGCGATTTTCTATCACTTATAGGTTTTGTTAAGTTAGATTGTTTGGTGCATAAAGATTTTCAGCGTTTGAAAATACTATGGCTAGAGTGCAGTCATTTATTCGAAATCCTGGCCATACCAGGATTTTTTAATTCACCTGTTTTTGATGGTCAAAACAGCTGTCTCACTGGTTGTCCTTAATTAAATTTATGCTTCGTCCACATTCAAATCTTAGATTAGAGTAAATTCAAACGTTGACTCAATTGAGTTCTTAGTCGTTTAATGTAATATACGCGAGTTGTTTTTCTTCAAAACTCTTTATCAGCGATTTTTTCCCCATGTTCTCTTCCCGTAACCCTATTCAGTTTCATGTTCAGCGCGCATGTCTCTTAATCCTGATCAGTCGAGTGTTCCTGATGGCCTCTTTGGGGATCAAGTTCAAATAGAATCGACCCATGAAGTTTCACATAACAGTGGTCGTGGAAATTTGGGCACACTGGGGATGGCTGCTGGAGTGCCACCTTACGGGACAAATAATCCGTCTGCCATGTCTGCTGCAGCGGCTGCTGCTCTTCTAATACAAGCGGCGACTGGTGGTTCTGCTAATGAATCACCCAATCATGTTACACTTTCTGGTAGACGTTGTTCAACATCAAGCCTTTTAGAATCACCTCAGCCATCGCCTTTATCTTCATCTGTGATTTCGGCAGCTGCACAACAAGCTGCTTTGGTTGCGGCACAGGCTATCGCCAGTCCACGTTCACCGTCAGTTAATTCCAGCGCATCTAATTTTCAAGCAGCAGTGTTATCTTTGGCTTTAGCTGCTTCATCTACTTGCACTACAATAAGCAATTCATCTGGTTCTGAATTTCGTGAATGTCAACGTTCGTTACTCGGGAATTCTGCTGTTAATGATCTTATTTCCCTTTCTGAACAGCATCCAAAGCTATTAACTGCTCACTCTACATTAGCATCTGTGTTTCGAAGACGTTCTTCAACGCTTGCTCCTCCATGTTTTACTAATGTACTTAATCCGGCGTGTATTGATGTGACACCTAGACATGAATTGAAAAATGTTTCTAGTGAAGAACCACAGTTGTTGTCTTTTTTGCCGTCAAACTTGACGTCTCTTGACCTTGGAGGTTCCCAGCTTCTCAATAGTCAGGTTAGTTTACAATTTAAGAAATGACCGACATGACTCGTGGTTTCATAATTGGAACGTTTAGTCCCTCTGATATTTAAAGAAAGTTTCCAGAAGACAATTATTGTGTGATGATATCATTTCGCACTTTTTCTACAATCGCGTTGGTTGACGATCAAAATGCTTGACAAGTAATTAATCGTATGAAGCTAAAGGACATCAATAACCAATCATATTTTAGTAGATTATCACCATATCCTTTTGTTTCACGTAATTAATTATTTGTGAAGCATATTTATTGTTGTCAACCATGCTGATTGCAGTGTAGTTGTGGAGAAATGGTTTCTTCTCGCAACGTTTATCTTCTGAATACTTTATTTAAGGTTTCATAACTGGTTGTTATTTGTTAGACTATAGACAGTTTTATTCCATCTATTTGCAATACTTCGGTAACTATGGTAGGTGATGTATTTTTTTAAATAAATCGTATATATGTCTACAGTAGTCCTACATACTTCGCTATTTCTGGAAATTAGGATGGAATATGTTTTCTAGTCCAATGTGATCAGTTTATATATTTTTCCATCGAACTCTGGCGTTGTTGATATGTGTCTAATTAATAGAAACATTTTTTTACTAGTTTTTGACAGACTTATCACTCTTCCACAAAATATTGATCAGAAAGTTGTGCTTCATTCATTTAGTCTATTACGCATTCTTTGTTTTAGTCTGAAAATACTTTTGCGTAGATATTCACTTGTATTAGTAGTCATATTTTAATTCACTAACTGCGAACACATGACTCGTGATTATGATTAAGTTAGCTAGGGGGCCCAAATATTGTGTTTCATTTTGAGATATTGGGATTTTAATTAACTACCCAGTTTCTGTTTCACTACTCATAATTTGTGTAGAAAGTAACTTTAGGTCTTCTTTGGATTCTGTCCTGGTTATTCGTGAAGTGAAAAGCGCACTTATACAGTGGAAACTAAGTGACTGTTATTCCAACCGTCGTTTACTGAGTTGGTCTAATGTGCATCGCGTAAAATCACCAGTGCTAGTAAAAGTTGTGAAAAACAGACAAAGAACAGTGAAACACGCATTTCTGATATTAATGACCACAAAATAAATAAGAATAAGGATGAAATACTCAGTTTACAACAAAACAGAGCTAGTGGATTCGCGCTAAGGGGACTAACTTATCAAAACTCAATCTTAGCTTCCTACCTGTGAATTTATTCCTTTCACTAACCAATTGGAATAGATATAGGGCTAGAAATAATCTATTCTTACTTAGATCATAACTTTTCTACTATTTTTGTAGACTTTAAATCTGATTACTAGTAACGTACTTTGAAAATGTTAATTGATTTAGGTGTAACAATAATTGTGTGGCTTTACTTTAACAAAAGTCCTCTGTCTAACTTTAGCAGTTATGTTTAGAAAAAAATTACTTAACAATCGCGCGGATGCATATGCACTTTGCAATGAGTCACACCTATTTTGTGATGTTTGGTGATACTGCAGACTTAAACCTTTTATAAATAGAGAAAAGTTGCAACGTTACTACTTTGACATTAGTGCTGTCGGATTTATACAAACAAGAAACCACTTCGTCTCAAGTTGCTTTTTCACCAAGAATTCCATCATTTTTTCTTGATGAATGAAAGTTAAATATCATGTCTTTTTCACTACTGGAAATGCAATTTTTGCTGCTGACTAACTGCCCAGATTAGGTTTGTTTCCTGTCACACCGTAACAGCAGCTATTCATATTTTCTTCAGTAAGGTTGATTTCACTAAGAAAAGAATGACTTAATGAGTTAAGTGTGAAACTTTAAATTATTTATGCGACGTTTATTTTTGATTAGATGTTTTATACATGCGTAATCGCTACATTTGTTCGTTCGGTGAAAAACTTATCAATTATCCACCTTGTTTAATTTTAAACTTCCGAAAAGTGTCTTAAAACACCATAAATATTTTGAACCTGTCTGAGTAACTATCAAAGAGCAGTTGTACTAAGTACACTGGCTATTTACAACTCATTTACTGAAATAGGTTTTTCCGATAGCAGTCGATGTGTCAAATTTATTGTGTGAGGGATGACGATATTACCCAGTCACCTAGGCTAAAGCGTGTAGAACAGGACTCGGACGCAGAACCTACTGGTTGAAAGCCTGTAACTGTAGGGGGTACGAGAATTTGTAACAGACTTTTTAAGGGAAAACGCATCATATTTTTGCATTTTTAACCACCTTAAAAGCCGGTTAGGTCAGCGGTCATCATTGGTTGGCGATTGGCCCAAGGTCAAGCAAAAGGACGGAAAGTTGTCCAAAGAGATTATTTCAAAACCCAATGTAAACTAAATCCAGGTTTGAGGATTAAATACTTATACCCCTTCAGCGATTGTCTTAAAATGTTGATTTCAATCTATGGCCGCTTCCTGTCAGTCTGCATCTTTACAGCACATGCCAAAAACCAAGTACTAAAGCTGAGTCACATCTACGCGCCATCTACATTAAAAACGTTATGGTTACAAATTATTTGGTTTTTATAAGGTTTATCGTTTGTGCATTACAAATGTTTCTCACTTATGATCTTGGAGTCTTTGGTGTTAGAATGCAAAATTTCTTTTGATAGCAAGTGGACTGCTTGCATTCAAAACTTATAATTTTGTCATGATGTTGAAAACTCTTATTTAAGTAACATTATCGATGGCATACACCGAGCATAACCACTATGTTGTCAATTAAGACTTCGTATTTACGGCTAGTAGTTGTAACGAGGTAAACTAAGACCACTACGGATTAAGTGTCACTTAAAAATCGTACTATTGAACCGTAGCACTTAATTATTTTTGGAAGGCTTCTCATCTCTACGATAGTTATAAATTTGCATCAGACAATATTTTCTTGTGGCTAAGTGAGGGAATTGGCAAACGAGTATTTTTGGTGTCGAAAATTCGTGTGGTCATAATGATATGAATAATTTGCTTTATTCCAAAACAGTACTAGTGGTAAAATGTACAGTTTTCAGCATTTGGCACAACATTGCATCTGATTTTATCGAATAACACTAAAAACAATCATAAAAATAATATGACAGGATTGTTATTAATGGTTCTTATTTGGTGTTTCTAGTGACAGTAGTAAAACTTATAATGCATTTCATTTTTCACTTAAGTAGTTTACTGAACAAAAAAAAGAACTAAACCGAATTTCCAACGTAGAACTTTGCATGAAAGTTCAACAAATCAAGCTGCCACGCTCCGTAAAGGTAGAATAGAAACTGATTGACTGACTAGTTTCAACATAGAACTTTGTACCGATGTACAGCAGTTCGAGTCGCGACACCACTCATCACACAAAGTAAGAAAAGAAAGTAGGAGAAATGTATAATATAGACAGTAAACAGAGATATCAAGCAAGAAAGAATAGTAATATCGAAGAGCAAAACAGTTTAATTGGAAGTCATAAGTCACAAGGAGTGGATGCATCTGCGCCATTGAGAACGATTTTGAGTCATGTCACCAATTGTTTCCAACCATTGGTTTTTACCGTCCCGAGGACCCCAACCAGGAAGTCTACATCTCCCTACGTGGCTTAGACTAACTGTTGTAGATTTCATTGACTGGTGCCATGTTTTCGTTTGACCGCCGCTAGCTCTTTTCCAGCCTGACCCTATATCAGCTAACATTGCCCGTTGTCGAGGGAGGGGATGACTAGGCATATGTAACACATGTCCTAACCATCTCAGTCTATGTAATTTCACAGTCTCGTCTATTGATTTCCCCTCCTTACCTAGTACTCGACGCCTAACCTCAATATTGCTCACCTTATTATACCACTTCACTCGGGAGATAGAACGCAGGCACCTATGATCAAAGACAGCTAATCTTTTCATGTCTTCCGCTCTCAATGACCATGTCTCACAGCCATAAAGAAGGACGGAGCGGACTGCTGAGCAGTACACACGCCCTTTGGTCGATAGTCGGATATCACGTCTACGCCAGAGACGGCGTAAACTAGCATATGCGAAACTAGCCCTCTGTATTCGTGCTGAGATTTCGTCAGAGATCAACCCATTGGGGCTGATGGTACTTCCCAAGTAAGTGAAGTGGTCAACACGCTCTACCACTTCACTCCCTATTTCTAATCTAAGGGGCCGGTCTAGTCCAATCCTGCAACATCATCTTACATTTTACAGGGGCGAATCGCATGCCAAACATACGAAGATTGTTGCTCAGTGTGTTCAGTAGACTCTGCATTTTGTCAGCGTCCTCACCCAGAAGGACTATATCGTCTGCATATTCTAAGTCAACGAGATTATTCCCTGGAAGCAAGTCAATCCCTGCGTCTCTGAAGTAAGTTAGGGTTAATTCCATCAGTACATCTATGATGAAATTGAATAGAAATTGGGATAGTGGGCATCCCTGTCAGACACCACTAGTTGTCACCACTTCAGATGACAACTCGCCGTAAGCTGTCACCTGGCTGCATGAGTTCAATTAGAGTGCCTTGACCAGTGCAATGTATTTCTTAGGCATCCCTCTTAGAGCCAAGCATCTCCAGAGTACCTCTCGGTCGACAGAATCGAATGCCGCCTTTAAGTCAAGCAATATTACGATTGTTGGACGCCTATGTTCCAGAATCTCTCAAAGGGTGAAGATAGGATGAATGAACCCCCTTCCTGGTCTAAAGCCTACCTGATTTTCTCGTGTTTGTTTCTCGCAAGCACCACTTAGTCTGCGCATGATTATTGAGGCTAGAACTTTAGATACCATATTAGTCAAGCCAATCTCCCTGTGATTATCACAAGAAAACTTGTCTCCCTTCTTGTATATCGGGATAATCAATGACTTACACTAACTCGACGGAACTTCCTCTGATTCCCAGACGCTTCCTAGTACCTTAGTTAACGCAGACAGTAAACTTTCTCCACCGGACTTAAATACCTCTGGAGTTATTCCATCAGGTCCTGTTGCTTTGCCTCGTTTCAGATTAGTGACAGCCTCAGCAACCT